GGCTGCTTTGCTGGGGTCCCGACTTGACTCTTCAATTGCGGGCAGATAGGACAGAGAGGAGAGAGAAAGTTAATTAAAATGGAACTTTACTATCCCTCTCCCAGAAATACATCAAGAATCAGGCACAGAGTACATGCCTCCAATTCCAGCACTCCAAAAGCTGAGGCATGAGGATAGTTACTAGTTTCAGGCCATCTTGGGCTACATAGTAAACTCAAGGCCAGGAACATACAGATCTCCTGGAGCAGCCATGTGCCTCTAGAGGTCCCCAGGTCCGTGGCTATCAACGCTTTAGTCTGACACAGCTCTTTGCAGAATGCTTACAAAGCACCCTGGTTTGTTTCTTCATGCAAGTCGCGTGATGATGCTAGAAAGAGTTGTCTACTCATCACCTTCGACACCAGAGGTCCTGAGAAGTCAAGGGACTTGCTCAAGGCCACATAGCTGGACAGAGGCAGAGACAGACTATGGTGCTATAATATAACTAAGGGGTCTTTGTATTCTTCCCATCTCCCTTTTCTACTCCCTTCATTTATTACTTTTGCCCTTTCTCCCATTTCTTTCTCTTTTCTTTTATACCTCCTTCCTTTGAAGGCTGAAGACCCAAGAGAATCATGACCCATTTCTCTAGAAAAAAAAAGATGAAATTGCTAGGGGCAGCACCATACTCTAGTCCCTGAAGCTTGTGTAGGGGCCACAGGCAGGAAGCTAGTCTGGGAGAGATGAGTAGCTCATGGTGTCACATCCCTAAGCATCTTGTTCTATCCTTTGCTCTTTCCAGGTGGTTCTAAGAGAGCTGGATACTTGCAGTATCAGGACCACCTACCTGGTTAGATTTGTACATCTCAGCACTTAGACCCACTGAATCAGCACCTGCTCTTCAATATGATGCCAAGAACTATATAAGCATCCTAAAATGTGCAGTGCCCGGAGATTTTCTCCAACAAATGTCCTTCCTCCACCCAGTGATGATCCAAGTTCAAAACCTGCCCAATCCTTGACCCCACCACAAATGTCCCACCCCAGCCTTCTCTGTATCACACAAGAACTTTCATGATGCTGTATGTGTGGTTATGTAATTGTTCTATATGTCACTTGACGTTCCCTTGGATGAGCAAAACCCCTGTGTTCAAGGATCCCACTAAATGCCACTAAAACAATGTCTCTGTCTCCATTTGAATGATCCACAGACTGTTCCCCTAAAACTCTCACTGCACTTACGGCTGCTCAGAGCCCAGCACCTTCACAGGGATACTTCAGATGTACTTACCTCACCCTTACACCCATCGCCACACTGCTCAGGCCACCTGTGCCATCCAGGCCCCAAGTGCAGACATCAGCTTCTCCATCCTGGGCAACTCAAAGGAGCTGCCGAGTTCCTTAGATTCCTGTCGCCCCACCAGTGTACCCCTCTTCTTCCTGTCACCAGGGCAGCTCTCGCCTTATGACTCACAGGCCTGTCTGCTACCACTAGCCCAGGAGACGCCATAAGTGATGAGCCCCTTCCCACCCAACCCAGTGTTGCAAGTGACTCTCCTCTTTCTTTTCTAGTATGCCCTGCCCACCGGTACCACTTTTGTCCTACAGATACCCTCAACTCCTTCATGAAAAGGGAGCTGGAGCATATCTGCATCAAAGTCTAGGATGACAGAGGCTTGGAGAAAGCATTGCTCAGGCTTTTTCTGAAGCTCTTTCCTACCTTTGTTTCCTACCTTGGTTATATGCTCTGTGAGACTGGCCTACTCCTGCCAGTGGCCCTTTCCCTGAGGCTCACCCAAGGGGGATGCTGACCACCAATCATTATGAGCGGATGGTAGAGAACACAGAGAGAGCTTGGAGCCGAGCCAACATGGATAGGTCCTTTAGCCTCCTGTGCCACCCTGGGCGTGCCATGACCTTGTTCTTGGCCTCAGACCCTCAATCTGAGAACTAAGTGCTTTATCTTGGAGGTACCACTCCCACTAGACATTCTGTGACAGTGTAATGGAAAGCTATGGTGTCTGAAAGGATGGCAGGTTCCGAGTCCTCGGTACACAGGCCTGGTCCACCTGAACCTGAGCGCTCACTCAGGGAGTGCAGTGGGTAGTTGCTGGGGGATGACTGTGTCCAGGTACCAACTCTGCACCTCCTTCAAAGGCTTGGGGGGGTGGAGACCATCTGGAAGCGTAGGTCAGAAGGCCATGAGCGAGATGAACAGGAGAATAGCAAGCAAGAGAGCCCAGGAGTAAAGTCCAGCTGAGGGCCTAGGATGCACTTCTGACCTTCTAGATAGCTCCCTCTTCCTTCTTCCTTCTTCAGTTTTGACCCTGAGTGGGAGTGTGTGGCACTGACCAGGGTCCATATGGAGGGAGGAGAAGATTATTCACCTGGAGAAACTTTCCATTGTTCATCTGGGTGGTAACAAAGAGAAGGGATGCTAGGGACCACTGGACTATTATTGCTCCTCACCCACCTATAGTTCCTCCCCGGGCCTTTCCCTTGGCTGCTCCCAAGCCAGAGCTTAGCCCAGGCCTGTGTTGAACCAGTCCAGATTCTCAGCCCCACGTGAGAACTGGCGGCAAGCCCAGCATCTGGAACGCACGCTCCTGCCAAATGTCTCTCAAAGGAAATGGGAACTTCCAATCCTGCCTCAGAATGGGGATTTCCAACTCTCTTCTCCCACTCTGACCCACCAGCTGGGAAGAGCATCCTTTGTTGACAGAGTGAAGCAGAGGGAGATAGACAATCACTTTCCTTTCTCCGGTTTATGATTCACTCTATTTTCTCCCCTGGGTTAACTGAGGCTTGCAGTGGCCAATTCATTTCCAATAGTGACTTCCAATAGACACAGGAGCCTGTCCGTGTGCTTGACAAAGCCAAGGGCTTTTCCCTGTGACCATGGGCCATAACAGTCTGTGTACGTCAGTCAGGAATAGGTTTCCTCTCATAGAAAGAGGTGACACTATTACACATTCTTGTGGGGGGGGGAGGCTTTGGGGCCTCAGATTCTTAGGAGCAAGAGTGGCATCTCTCAACTTGTGAATGCTATAGAAAGCCTGAGGAATGACTAGATTCCATAGATGACGTACTCATAGATGAGAGATGAGTATCTATAAACACAAGGAAAACTTCTTGGAAGTTATAGTGAGAGGGTCTGGGAAAAAATGACTGTGCAAAACTACAGCCTCCAGTCCTAAAATAATTCACATATTTGAGAATAAGTGAGTGAACCCACAAGGAAAGTTCTGAGCCAAACTCAGAGGTGTTTGGACACTAGTTGGGAAGGAGGAGAGTGACTAGCAAGATAATGAATGAAACAGGTGGAACAAAAAGAAGGTTCCCAGAGGTAGAGCAAAGCGGCACATGAGTGGCCTGTCCTCTCTTGGTCCTGCCTTTTTCTAATTCTGCCCAAGAGTCTAGAATGTTCTCCCTCATAGAATCTCTGCTCCAGGTTCTCTAAGAAACTAACATCCATCATGAGACATTAACTCTCATGCCCAGGGTCAGGGATTCCAGAATTAGTACAACCTGAATGGGAGCATCACCTCCCTGAGTCACCTATGTAACCTAAGAATAATTAGGTATTTTGACAGCTAAGTATGCCAGGCTCCCAGTAAGCCATCAAAATGCTGCTAATGGCAACTTATTGTGGACTAAATACAGTTTGCTTGTTGCTGCTTATTTCTTATACAAATATAGCAACTGGAGAATTGCTTTCTTCCAATAATCCCACCTCTGTATGGGCATTGTCTCCGGGACCCTCTGTGAAAGAGGAGTCCTAGGTCCATCCCTGCCCATCAAGCAAGACTCAGGATACTGTAGTGGGCTGAGGGAATCAAGACACTCGAGTGTCAGCCTCTGCTTAGCCACTGGCATGCCTAGGACAGTTATACTATTTTTGTAAAATAATTGACTGAAATTAATTTAAGGACTTTCAGATTTTATTGCTCTGATGCTACTGTTTCTGGAGAAATCTAAGCCTGCAGAGCTAAGTAAAGCCAGACATTCCATTTCTCCAAATATGGCTCCTTGGCTCACTCATGGTCCCTGGAAATCCAGAAGAAGGCAGGGAGGAGAGTAACCACAAGTAGTAAATGCTGACCACAGGCTCCTAATCATAGTGACTTAGCCACAAGGAATGTTTCTCCATGGCGCATTTTTTTATCTGTTAGTTTGAAGGAACTGAGCACAGAGAGAGCAAGTACCACGACGATAACACAGACTGGAGCACCTGGGCCCGTTTCCAGAGCACCCCGGGGGCTGTTACCTACAACCTTTCTGGGCCTCAGCTGCCTGATCTATACATTGGAGATTAGCAATACCTACTTAACTAGAGCTGGGGAACTTAGAGACTTTGCACTGTAAAGCCTTCCAAACATTCCTGGCACAGACTAGGCACGGTATGGGATTTGCATGGAAATCTCTTCTCCTACAGGAGCCGATTCGTATGGCTTTCCAGGTCTGGAACCTTACAACTCAGACAGTTCATTTCAAGGTTGCAAAGCTCCTCAGTTCTGCTGTGTTTCTGGGAACCACCAAGTGGAGCGAACACCCTATTCAATGTTAAACAAGGACGTGGTGTACTTACTACTGTCCTTTCCCATCTCCAAGATCCCTTGGGCCAGGGGCAAGCTGGGGTATGCTTGCATCCCCCTTAGGACCTTAGGATCCTTGCCCGCTTCCTTTTACTTCAGTGAAAGCAAGACCACTCCATTCACGCTTGTGGTCAGTCTGCTATGACTGCTCTCCATCCCCTGCCCCTTCCCGCCCAGCTTCATTCACTCGCTGGCAGCAGTGGCTGGAAAAAGTACCCAATTCCAACCCGCAGCTTCTCTCTTCTACTTCCTGGAAACCTCCTAGGGCCCTGCACTTACTCAGCAGATTCAATCTTCCACTTTTCCTCACTCACACGAAGGATGATGCTACCCCCTGGGGACCAGGCTCCCAGCCTGACTCCGCCCCCCTGACTTAACAACAATAAAAGGCTGAGGCAGAGCTGCCAGAAGAGCAGAGAGGCTGAGGCCAACCCAGAGCCTGCCAATTCTCTCTGAAGCCAGCTCTCTCTTCCTCCACCATGCAGGTCTCTGCAAGAACGCTTCTGTGCCTACTGCTCACAGTTGCTGCCTGCAGCATCCATGTGCTAGCCCAGCCAGGTAAGACCCCAGCTTCTTTCTCCTCATGGTGTATTACCCCATCTTGGACTGTCATGGGCCATCATCATAGTGTAGTCTCACCTGAACAGAAAATCCCCCCCCCCCCCCATACACCAAGGTAAGACAGCTGAGAGAAGGGCAAAGAGCCAGCCCAATTATGCAGGGGCTTCTGGGAAAAGGTCAACCTAGAGTTCTAATCCTTCTAAGATCTACATTTGGAATCACATCTTCATGTGGCTTCTGTCCTCAGTATTTGAGAATACAGGTGACCAAATAGGGGCCTGGGTTGATGTGTTTCTCCAGATTGGCGGGGGGGGGGGGCAGGGGAGAGAAGAGACCTGAGACCTCTGTTTCACGCAGTCCACCTTCCAGAGACAGAAGCTAGTGGGGGGGGGGGTGTACTAAAGATGCTCAGGATCAGAGGTAGATTTCAGGAGCCTAGAATAAGGTCGCCAGGCCATTTCCTTGGACTCTGGTTATTTGATATCTTATCTCTTTCTAATGACAGTTCCCAGAGTCACCTTGTTTTAATGACACCCCTTTATCCAAGATTGTGAACTTTCTTTAAAGCACACATCTCTGAGTCAGTGTATCAGTGATCACATGCCCACTCTGACCTATCTGGGTTGCCATCCACTCCTGCTGAAACTGCCTGTTCCTCATGGTCCTCCTCTTTTCTGAGGCCAGAAGCATCCCTCTTGTCCTAACGTGCCCCCCTCTCTGGTTTCTTCTCCAGATGCAGTTAACTCCCCTCTCACCTGCTGCTTCTCATTCACCCTCAAGAAGATCCCAGAGAGGAGGCTGGAGAGCTACAAAAGAATCACCAGCAGCAAGTGTCCCAAAGAAGCTGTGATGTGAGTGACACCTACTAGCCTTCCCTGGTCCAAAGTTCTTCCTCAAAAGCAAGGGGTGGTCCTCGTAAACTTCCAGTCACTCACACACTCAGACCCAATATCAGATAATTTCCAATGAGAAAAGTGCAGCCAAGAAGGAAAGAGCAATTCCCAACAGCACTGTCTAGAGGGATGCTCTTCAGAGCACCCCAATTTCATGAGCTTATCTTGGAAAACCTGCAGGCCCCTCAAAGTCCCCCTTCCTACCTGCCTTCCTCCTTTAGCCCTGCAAAGTCCTTCCATGCTCAGCCACTGAACTTCATCTGACTGTGTCTTCTCTCTTTCCACAGTTTCATCACCAAGCTCAAGAAAGAGATCTGTGCTGACCCCAAGCAAGCCTGGGTCCAGGCATACATGAATAAACTGGACCAGAACCAAGCTAGATCGGAAACGACAACTGTGTCTAAAATTGTGTCTTCTGTAAGATCTTCAGCACCTTTGAATGCTAACTTGACCCATGGACCTGCAGTTAATGCATCGACTACTCCCTTTCCCGCAGCAAGCTCAAGAACCTCTGTGAGAGTGACCAGCCCAACAGTGAACTAGTGTGACCTGAATGTGGTGCTCTAAGTAATGTTAAACTTATTTAACTTATTGATGTCTCGATATCCCCTCCCCTGAATACTAGGATTTCTTGGATACAAGATGTGGTTCCATTGTTTTCCCTCTGAGGACCCTGTTTCTACACTTTCAAATGTTATGAGAGATGCATTTTGCAAAGATGGATGGAAAAACTTTGTGTTTGAGATTCCAGGGCATTGTTTAAAATATTATTATGGAAATAGATATTTCTAATTATTAAGAGAAATAAATTATTTTTGTACACAATCTGGCTTTGGGTGTTTTCTTGAGGGAAAGTTGCAAAGCAGGGCGTGTTTAAGTTTGGAGGACAGCACAGGTGGGACACATATTGTGGAGGAATGGCAGAATGAATGGCCCAGTCTTTTGTACTGGATGGTCTCATTTGAGTGTCATAGACGCTTTAAAACAGGGCCCAATCAGCCATGCTAGGACCATTGTTCGGGTCCCCAGTATTGCTTCTCAGTCACCTGCTTGACAAAAGCTCCAGTCCACACCTGCCATGTGTTCCAATTGCCCTTTACTGGGATGCATCACTTCTATCTCTAACTCTCCCACTTGACTCCCTAACTGGGTAGGCAACACAGGCACTGGGGGATGGAGAGGGGACTTAACCACCTTCTATAAGAAGTTTATCTTAAGGCTTCATAGAGAGAGGAAGACACAAACTTATCCTTGATAATGATCAGAGTTTTTCCAGAAAAGCACAGATACATCAAGAAAAAGAAAGGCAGCCGGGCGGTGGTGGCGCACGCCTTTAATCCCAGCACTCGGGAGGCAGAGGCAGCCAGATTTCTGGGAGTTCGAGGCCAGCCTGGTCTACAAGAGCTAGTTCCAGGACAGGCACCAAAGCTACAGAGAAACCCTGTCTCGAAAAACCAAAAAAAAAAAAAAAAAAAAAAGAAAAAAGAAAAAAGAAAAAGAAAGGCAGGTGGGGGAAAACAGAGGAAGGTAGAAAGGAGGATGCTATGTACATCAAAAGGTGAAGAGAAGAACAATCAAATGGGGCTATGTGTCTGTCAAGTTGTATCAAAGGGAGAAGGGAGAAAAAAAACAACAACAACCAGATAGGGTCACACGTATGTCACATGATGAGAATTTTTCAAGAGAAGCCTGAATACAGGGTTTTGAGTGTAAAGGTGTGTGCATGGTACTGCCTCTGACCTCGTCCTTTAATGGAAACTCTTTGGTTCAATGAAGAGGGATGTGTCCCATTCAGAGGCTCGGGCTCAGGGAGAGCGTTGGAAAGTGCACCTTGATGGCTTCCTACAGACAGGAAGATGTGGAGAGAAGTGATAGACTGTGGCCCATCAATAGATGAGGAGTGAAGATGGGGTCCAAGGGACAACTCTGGAGAACAATGTGCTGGGCTGTGGGGAAAGGTGTTAGGTGCAGACCTCTCCTGAACTTGTCAATGGGGCAACTTCTCACAAACCCGAAAACATTTCTTCCCATTACCACCCTGAGGCCACACCTGGGAACCTAGGCTGTCCATTCAAACGGGAAGATTTTTCTCTCTCTGGATGTCCAGCTGAAATCTGTGGCACGGGACGTTTGGACACAGACAGCCTCTCTCCATGAGGGACGGTGAGCATCTTTTGCTGGGAAATCAGCTCTTATGGTGCTCACCTTCTCCATCTGGTGGGGAGAAAGATATTGTCAAACAAGACCCAGCAGTGCCTTTGGCAGCATGCAAGGCTGGGAAGACTGCCTAACAGGAAAGACACTTGGGTGGACATAGACTCGGTCACTAGGGATCAATGGAGTCTATCAATTCAGTGGGGTGGGGGGTGTTGCAGAGATAAGCACGGGCCGAGATTCCCTTCTGATGGAGAATCCTGTCTCCTGGTAAGTTTTCATTTTGCAGCTCAGAGTTGGAGCATATCTGAGCCAGGCCAGACTTTCTGGCTGAAACTGAGGGTTTCCTTCAGAGCTCTAAGGGCTGTAATACTCAGACAGCAAACAATCTGTAGGTTTTGTTGTATGTAGTTCACAGACCCTACATTCCAGAGGTTCAACGGTCCTCAGTGTTGATTAACAGTCAGAAAAGAAATTTTAAATCAGAGTGGAGGCAAAGAGGAAATAAAGAGGAAATGAGTAGCTTATAGAACAAGGGGTCTCTGATGCCAGGCTGACTGGCTGAGAGGAGGAAAGGGAAAGGGGATGGGGGCACATGCACCTACTCCCTCCATAGCCCAATAGCCTGCTTCTGCCGCATTTGCAAGCCCTATCTGCTCATTTTTATGAAATATTGGCTTGTTTTCTTTTTTCTCGAAGCAAGCAGGAGTTCCTTGGTCCTTGCACAATGGAGCTGAGCACAAAGCATTGGCGTGCTTAGGCACTTAAGGAAGCCAAGTAGGATGCGTTCATTTCCCGTTGCTGCCAGCATTTTATTCCAGAATGTCTTTGTCCTTTCCCATCATTCTCAGGCTTCCAGTCTCTGTTTATTGCTCAATCCCAGAGCCATTTCTATGATTTATTATAGCAGCACCCTGCCCCAGGTATCACACTCTGTATTAGTCTCTGAATGCCACTAACAAATCAACATACACCCGAAGGCTTAGAACAGCCAAACACATTAGCAAACAGTTGGATTGTTAACTCTACACTGGGCCAGTCTAGTTGCAGTCCCTTAAAGAATTTACTGTTTACAACTTCTAGAAACCACTTTTGGAGTCTTTCTCTGTCTCTCCGTCCCTCTGTCTCGCTCACTCTCCTCCTTTTATTCCCCCATCCCTCCTTCTGTGAGCATCTCTCTGCTTCTCCACAGGTTTTGCTGTTGTTTCAGCTTTATTAGACAGAGGCTCATACTGTGGCTACCTGTTATGTAGCACAGTTTAGCCTTGAACTCATGGCAATCCTCCTGCCTCAGACTGTCCAGTTCTAGGGTAATAGGCATGCACCACCACACCCAGCTGTAATCCTGTCTCTCTAACCTTCTGACCTTTCTGCGTTCATATTTGTGATTGTCCTGAATACATCTTCACAGCCAAGATGATCTGTCTCAGGGTCTTCACATCAGTGACATCCACAAACCCCTTTGCAAGGTCAGGTAGGACATGCACAGGCTCTAGATGCTAGTGTCCTAGCGCTCGGAAGAAAGGGCTGCCCTTTAGACCGCATGCCTAGGGACCAGACAAAGGCTTATACTCTGTAGCTGGGCACAGTATTTGAAAGTTTGTCTGGTTCGCTAAGAAGGTGGTCAAATAGCCTTGTGGGTGTTATGTTTTGTCTGGCACTGTATAGGTAAAGTACAGCAGGTGCTTCTAAGTGAACAGTACGTGATACTTTATCTTGACTGTCCACGTGTTGTGATTGAGAGATACTTAAGAGGTCAGTGGAGCCCCCTTCTGCATGTGCCCAGGAAGGTGTCGAGATGACGGGAGCTTGGGATAGCAACTAGCAGAAACTCACCCTAAGTATGGTGGCAGCCTCTAACTAGCCAGAGGTCCAGACAGAAAGGGAGGCAGGGGAAGCAAACAGCATGACCAAACTCCACTCCAGGGGACCTCAGGCACCACTCTCTTCAGCCTGCAGTACAGGCTCACACCGGTGGCTCTCCCTGCAGCTTCAGACTGAAGCAGCATCACTGGCCCCTGTTTTCCTGAAGTGCCCAGCTTTGTGGACTGAGCAGCTCCTGGGTTGCTCGCTCTCCAGCACACGGATGCTCATTGGGGGAATTACTCAGTCAACAGTTAGGAAGTCAACCTTTTATAATTACACACACACATATATGTGTGCATGCATATATATGTGCACATATATGTGTGGATGTATAACTATATATAATATACACATGGAGAGAGCCTTAGCTAATACATTGTGCTAATACTCACAAATTTCTTCTAAAATGAAAGCACATGGGCCAGCCAGATGGCTCACCAAGTAAAGGTACTTACCACCAGGCCTCAACACCTGAGTTCAACCCCTAGGAAGGAGGGAGAGAACCAATTTTTGCAAGTTGTTCTCTGACCTCCAAACATAAGGCATGGTGTGTGTGTGTGTGTGTGTGTGTGTGTGTGCGTGCACACAGCACATGTGAGCTGCAAAGCATATGTGGAGGTCAGAGGACAACTTTTGAGAGCTGGTTCTCTCCTTCTACCTAGTTGAGCAAGCATCTCTCGTTTCTGTCACTGCGGTATCTACTCTGTGCTAGATTACCTATGAGTTTCTGGGTGATTCTCCTATCTCCACTTTCCATCTCATCGTTGGAGTGCCCAGACTATAAATGAGTGTCACCATATCTGATTTTTGGTTCTGAGGATAGACCCTCAGGATTTCCAAAGATGTAAAACAAATACTTTTACCCACTGAGCCCTCACTCCAGCCTCTCGTGCAATGTCATGTAGATATTGCATAATGTTCAAATACACAACACACACACACACATGCTGAAACAATTGTCATCTTTAAATTGAAAACACTCAGAATCCATCCTTTCTTCTGGCCTTTTAAATATGCACAGAATTGATTAATTACAAATTAATAGCATATAATACACAAGCAGAACTCCTTTCTCCGATCCTTCTGTAACGGTGTCCACTGGTTGACTCGATGCCGCCCTCCCATCCCCCCGCCCCACCCAGTCTTTAGTAACCACCCTTCTACTTTCAGCTTTCACAAGGTCAACTTTCATGGCTCTCACATGAGGAAGATCACATGCGACTGGCTTTCCTGTGTCTGGCTTGTTGCATGTAACACGATGACATCCGGTTTCAGCCATTCCGTCAAAAGTGACAGGGCCCCACCCTTCGGTGGCTATTATTCTACTCTCTACTATTGCCATATCATCTTCATCTACGTATCAACTAGCACTAAGCTCCTTCCGTCTCTTGGCTGCTGTGGACAGTGCTGGGGTAAGCATGGAGCACAGGTGTCTCCCGACATACTCCTGTCCCTTTGGCAGCATACCCAGAAGAAGGATTGCCAGATCATATGTTAATTGTAACCTTTGATATTTTGGGGAGCTGCCACGCCTTTCCTGACAATGACTGCGCTAGTTTGCATTTCTGCCAACAGTTTCAAGGGACCCCTTTTCTCCGCACCCTTGCTAGCGCCATTTATTTTAGAATTTTTTTTTTTTTTTGGCAATTGCCCTTCTGACTGGAGGGAAGTGGTGTCTCACTGTGGTTTTGATTTGCATTTCCCTGATGTCTTTGTTTCTTTTTGTGTTGCGGTGACAAATACTCTGAAATACTCTGACAAGGCACTTAGGGCAGGAAAGGTTTCTCCTTGGTTTCATC